CACACACACACACACACACACACACACACACACACGTATAAAATTAATCTCCCATCTTTCAGTGTCTATCAAAATGAATGGATCGAAGCACACACCTCAACATTTAGGCTGCCTAAAATTCCATTTCCATTTCTCGAATCGATCCTTCAAAGGCTTTCTTCATCAAACTCCTCCTCCACTTCCATACATTCCGTATTCGAAAGAATATCATTTTCTATCGCATTTATTTAAATAATATTATGTTTCTGCAATATATTCATATGAATATAGCTTATGCTTCTTTCCGGAAATTCAATTAATCCTGAATTATTATCACTTATCTTATCTTTTCTTCCTACATTTTCCTCCGCGCTCTATTAGCTACAAATTTTTGTTATATTAAAAAAAAAATCTTTTAAATAAACATATAAATGAAGATTGCTCATTGCTTAATTTAGCAATTTTTTTTTTTTTTTCAATGGATCATCGGTGCAATCTAGTTCACCTCATACCAGTGCTATCTATACTATCATCATATTTACAGTAATTTACATCTTTTTACAATTCATATTTGCAATAGAATTAACATCTTCTATGCCTACTTAGAACGTTAAAACTTTTGATGGTTAATATTGTTGCAGCAATAATTGAATTAGCAAATTAGCGATGGTAATATTTTGCTATCCCTCAAAATGTTTTTTTCTGAATTATTACTCTTCAATGATATCTAAAAATTTCCACATTTATATATGATTCGTTTTCTTTCTTTAGAAAGCTCAGAACTTTCAATCGTTTTCATACTGCCTTCAATAGGCTTCTCTCATGTGTGTTATTTTCACATGAAATTTGATCAGTCTACTTGTAATGCCTCTTTAAACCTTACACTTCAACTATCCAATTTGCAAAGCCAATTTTTGATCGATAGAATCTCTCTATACCTCTACCCTCGTAACAGGTGTATATGTGCAAGTTAATCTTTGCTTTTGAATATAAAGACTACCTGGCACATTTTGCACAGTTTGTATTAATTTATCAAAAAAAGGGCAAAAAATTGAATTAATGAATCAATTCCGATACCTCAAAAAAGAATTAGAGTTTTTCTTCTTTTAAAAATTGAGAGAATAATGGCATTTTGGACAAAAAACGAGAATGAATGTCTTGTGAACATATTTCTCGAAAAAATTGCCTATGCGTGTGTCAATAGATGACTAAGGCCCAGTGGAGTGGAATTGGTATCCGAAAGGTTGATATTCTTGGTAGGTATATGATTCTTTTTTTACACTTTTAATACTGTCACTAAATTTCATCCGTTGACAATTTACAATATTTTCTAGAACAATGCAAATATGCAGTGAGAGAAATCAAAAATTTACTTCCATTCTCTGATTTCATTTTAATTAGCATCCATAAATATTTCCATAAATTTTAAATGAAAAAAATTTTGAAGTTGCTAAAATAATTACTTCTGACTATTATAAGAAGCCACTTATCCCTGTAACAAATGTTACGTGTTGTAAAATGACAATTCACAAAATTCGAAGCATATTTTCTTTTTCTTCATTGCTATGAAGAGTTACTATGGTAGCTTATTTTTGCACAGAGAAAAATTGCCGAGATAAGATTTTCCTGGCAATATCACAAAAGAAAAAGAAAAGAGTAGATAAGTTACAACTAATATTGAAATCAATTATCAATTTAAGCAGAGGTGATTTGAGATGAAATGAATGGTCCTCGTAATCTTTTTGAATGTCGAGAAACTAATTTTCTTGACTTTTTAAAAGCAGCTGTTAACAATAAAAGCTAGAAAAAAAAATGGACGTTATAGTTTCTGTAATATATTCTAAGAAGAGCAGTGGTAATATTTATTCCAACGATACACTTCAATTGTAATGAATCCATCAGATGAAGAGGAATTTTGGATTGAACTAATATAAAAGAAATGGTCATATTCTTTCTTTATAAATATTTCTCATTAATTTAATTGGCTAATAAATTTTCCTTTTCTTTGCAAATTATTGTTGATGCGTTCATTTAAGTGTTACCATTCATCACTTTCACATGTTCCTATCATATCAATAACAGTTGTCATTATACATTAATAAAATGCACCATTTTTTTTTTTTTTTGCTTATATTTTTCAAATAAAAAGATGTTTTGTGTATGCCAAAAGAAGAGGGATTTTATGAGAAAGATCATTTCAATCTGACCCACAAATACAACGTTTAATTGTTGGATATTCATTGTATCATAACGATTACATCTTTTAAATTGCAATGTAAACATCATAATTTTAATCATAAGGATGACACTGCAATAGATTAATAGTGATATGATAATGATGTCTGTTTAACTATTCTTCATAACAGTCTAATGTTTAACTTACTGTTTATGTGTCAAGCATAAACATCAAACTTCCTCTTCCTATTCCGCATTCTATCAATATTATCAGTAAATTGAAGTTCTCTAAGATATGTTCCCATACATTGGAATATTCTATCAAACCTATCATCATTGCTTTTCGCTTTCGTTTTTAATACCAAAACATACTTTAACAACATTCAAGCAGATCCGTTCACTGTTTCATACGGGCTGTGTGAAAATCGAACGAGATGGGGGGTTTTTTTTTTATTAATTTGCATTTTAGTTGCGAGGAGTTAGTGCAGTTCTGCCCGGGTATCCGACACCGTGTCGATGTTCATGGATAAATTGGTGAAGAAAATGAACATTCGAAGTAATACAGTTAGACTAATCTGTTTGCAAACATACATTTTGATGAAGATGATAGCTAACTGGTTAACTATTGTACTTAACAATTAGCAATAATATAGAATGACCAATAATTGCATGATTGGTATAGTACCATTAATTTTATAGTCATTTCTATATAAATCGATGATAATATTATCAGATTTTAGGCAAGAAGGTTTATGCAGAAATTTATTGTTGAGCGATTGACTATTAGCTGTTTAGCAGGTGTTCAAAAAAATCGGAAAAACAATATCCATTATTTAACTAGACTATCATTGTTGAACTTGATGCGATTTTTATTTATGTAAAGGAAGAGAAGAGGAAAATTCAGCTCCTTCCAGGAATAGAGATTAGATAATATTGTGTATTTCATAAATATATTTTTATAACACTTTTATAGTTTTATAAACTTTGGCAAGAAATAATGTCCCATCAAGTTGTTATTGCTTCAGTTTCAATAAGCACATCTCAAGAAAGTATTTTTAGACAAATCAAATATGACTAATATTATCCCTTACTGTCTTAATCATTTTTGATACTTTCCGGTGAATTAACATATTTTTATAAATTTAAAATTGGGTGTTTAGATTTAGAATAAGCATAAGATTTTTGATGTCAACGAAAAAATTAGGTCTTGAAAATTGTGCAAAAATGATTTCTTAGCGTTTTGATCAAAATGTCATTCTGACAAAAAAATATCGTCAATTTTTTAATGGTAAATTAAACTTTGAAAGAGATTTACTTTTCATTAACGAAAAATCCAATCTTCAGTCTATATGTGATGAGTGAGCTGGTTTACTGATATTATTTTAAGATTCGAACTAGTATTATATGAAGATTGGTAAAGTTTTAACAATACGAATTCTTTTAATTGAATTTTAGTTGAATACTCTCCGACTATTCAGAGAATAAATATTATTGATCCTTAATTAGGACGGTTTATTTATTCAACATTTTTGATTGAGATGTGGATATTAGGAAATAATTAAGGCTGGTCGGTACTCGCTGTTTATCATTCTCCTTCAAGGTCACTAAATATATTTGCATGTGGTCGTGGTGGCGTGCATCTTCATTCTGTTTCTTTTTGATCGCATGCGTTAATATATCTCATTGAAATAGCCCTATCAAAATGATACATTGTAACTGCGCGGGATATGTCCTTGGCCGAAGTGATGTATTCAAGCAAACGATGTATTTACATCAGTGAAAGAGGATGTATTTTGATGCGAGAAGGCACTATTAAATGGGTGAAGAGTAGATTTATTATTTCATAGTGGTTCGAAAGGTCGTTGGCAAGATATTGTTCCACGACATCCTTATCTTGAGTTAATTTCTGTAGCTTCAGTCTTGATTATGTTTATGATTGCTGTTTGATCCAAATTTTAGATGAAATTTATAACAACTAGTGAAGAAAGTTAGAAAGTTGAGTCGTTATTAGTGTTATTGTTATCTCATCATCAGTTCACAGAGCTAAGAATCGACAGTAGTACGTGAGAACTTCAGATATATCGGATTTTCGAGATAATGGGTCGTCGCTTGACGTTGCCAAAAAAGGTTTATCTATTTTCGTTTTTAATCGATTTTGAGCCTTTCGCAGAAAATTGATGTTACAGAATGAACCTGGAATAGAACAACAAACTTTCCAATGTAGATATCATTGGAAATCTTATCGTAACTGAAACATTATAAGGATATTAATAAATCTATAATACTTAGTGTAGTGAACTCATAGCATCATTGAATAGGAGTTTCAGCAAAAGAAAGATTTGGAGTTCATACGGTTAAATTTTTTCAAATGTGTAATTTAAGTTAAAATTTCCTGTTCAAATAACACATTGCTTCTTCGTTTTCATTTGTTGGAATTGTGTTTCATTTGACGTTTCAGTTATTTCCGAATTTGTAAAATTCAATCCTTCAGCTTAAATTTTCAGAAAAACTCGAGGAAAACACTAATGGAGAGGATCAATGTGGGAATGCATGTAGATATACGACGTTCAGATGGTCGAGTTCACAATGCTGTTATTAGTGAAGTTCGCAAGGGGACGCAGTCAGTGACTGTTGAATGGTTTGAAAATGCAAGTATTTCTGATTGAAAATGTATTTAAGTATGCTGTTTAGTTGTTCAGCTTTCTAAAAAATTTAATTCAATAACTTTCTTAGGAATATAGTTTCATGTATTGCCAACTCGATAATTATTCATTTGCTTGACACTGTATTTTTCTACTTGTATCCATTTATATCAGTTTATTTCACCTTTTTATTTCAGACTAGTATTGTTATTAGAATTAAGCCATTCAAGAGGCATAATTTGGTAAATTAGATGGCTCTGACAAATTCGATATCTCTTTGTCTTAATCTTTCACAAATCAAATTAGTGAAATTGATTGAGATGAATTAAGTCACCCAAGAGGCATAATTTCATGTACAAATTTCCTGATTTTTCGGAACAACTGAAAAACAACTGTGAAATTGCATGGTGATTTACCATGAATTCAAGAATTTGCAGTTATGCTTGAATCAAACAAAGTTTCAGGGGGAAACCAAAGGTAAAGAGATCGATTTGAAAACGCTGTTAGCAATCAATCCAACATTGGCTGCAGCACCTCCTTCCACGTCTTCATCTATGAATTTTGCGCCTCCAACCATCAACGATGAGAATCATTCAACAGTAGTAGCAGCACCAACAGAACTTCAACAAAGAACCCAGAATAATAACGAAAGTATGGCAGATATATCTTTATATAGATATATCAATCAAGAGCATTACATTATTATCCATTTTTAGTAGCCATTTACATGAGTGTTATACAACTACCCTTTTCACTTATTCCATTTTAAATTCTTACGATTCCAAACAAGGTTGTCTAAGGTTTAAGAATCTCTCTATATGTTGAATAACGCAAGTTGTATAAATTACTTCTATTTAGTGGAAATTAGACGCCAAAGCCAAAAATTGGCTACTTCACGAGCCAATAATGTTGCTTCACTGTATACAGCTGCAAATGGAAACAATGCTGCATTGAACACACAGTTGAATGGACATAATCGTGCAAGTCTGCTACAAGCACCCAGTAAACTTCCTCCACCAAAGCAACAGCGTTACACACTTGACCCGTCATGTTTCGAAGTTGATTCTTTGACAGGTTAGATGACAGTAGCGATTTCTAGAAAGAGTGTATCATCAGTCTGCCAACACTTTAGAAATAATGTTCTTTAGAAGTAATGAAATGGATAAATGATTTTGGGATATTATCTTGCGAAAGAAATTAAATTTTATTTAAACCTTCAATCTATGCCAAATGAGCACCACATAAACGGGGTCGGCATTGGTTTGTTGGAAGACTTTGATTACATTAGAACAAGCTTGAAATTTGATATATTGTTGCAGCAAACTGTAGCAGGCATCGTATCAAATATACTCGCTTATGTACACTGTAAAGATAGTGCAAGCATAGTTGAATAATTTGAATGAGCATTTGGCGAAATTTTCTATAAAAAAAATTTTTCCGAAAACTGACAGATTCTAGTATTTTTTATGTCCACTTTTAGCAGCAGCGAACGAAACGGTGGATATTAATGCACTAAAGGCTAGCCAACAACATCAGCAGAAGTCTTCTACGGTGCAGGAAATTGAACGACTACAGAGAAATAGAGAAGAACGACGTGCGCAGCAGGTTTAATTTTGTCTTTTAAATCATCAACATGAGCGATTTCCAAGAGAAAATGTTTCTTTCCTGGAGAAAGGGGCTAAAGAACAACTTGATCTAAGAAACTATAAGATAAATTTTCAAAAAATAACACTTCTGATGAATTTTTTAGTGCTGTCAGTGAATTTTTGAAAACACTTTTCATTTGTACCATCTGAATAATTATAGCAAGAGGCACGAAGGCAAAAAGAGCAACTAAAGAGCATTGATCCTGGTAATCCTAATTGGCAATTTTTGACAATGATACGTGATTACCAGTCACAGATTGATTTCCGTCCATTGAAGATGTCTGATCAGGTAAAATTAATTGTGTATTAGCAGATTTGACGAAACCAGAGTCAAATTTTCATGAAATTAGCAGAAATATATGAAAATTGCTAAGTTCCAGGTGATTGATCACCGAATCTGCGTTTGTGTTCGAAAGAGGCCTCTTAACAGGAAAGAAATCATGAAAAAAGAGATTGAGGTTTGCATTCAAATAAGTTTTTATAATACTATTCTTAATCACGTAGTTGATTTTATATTCTTTAGACAACTTTATTTGTTTGCAGGTAATAACGATTCCAAATAGGGACCATTTGATTGTTCATCAACCCCAAGTAAAAGTGGATTTGACGAAATATTTGGAAAATCAGAAATTTCGATTTGATTACACTTTTGACGAGAATACGAGTAATGAGATGGTTTACAAGTCAGTTTTCAATTTTAATATATAATCAAAAGTTTTATTCCGTAGGAGAAGGAGAAATGTAAGAGATTTAGTGATAGATTTTCATATAGACCAGAATGCTGTCACTTTTAGGTTCACCGCACAGCCACTTGTGAAAACAATCTTCGAACAGGGTTTTGCTACATGCTTTGCATATGGTCAAACGGGATCTGGTAAAACTCATACTATGGGTGGTGATTTCACAGGTAAAATACAGGTAAACATGAAATTTCCACACTTAGTTTTATTCAGATGTTGTTCAAACTTTCAGTTAATTTTTTTCATGTTCAAATTTCATTACTTTATCTTCCAAGTTTTTTGAGGTGTATGATTGCATATGGTAAAATTGAAGTAATTATGCTTACAACTTTTAAAATTCTAAGCCTACTTCATAGTAAACATGTATGTGATGAGGAATGCTGTCATCTATTTGGCATTTGATTACATAGTGGCGTACCTAAAAGCAATGAAAAAAGATTTTGCTTTTTTTGGCAACGTCTATAAAAAATAGACTATTTTTCAAGTCTTTATGTATATGTTGAATTTCAACTGCTGCACTTAAAAGTCCTGTTAATTCTTGCTCTCTTTAAAGCTTAAAGGATTGGTTTTTTCAGGCTTTTTTTCTCTCTCTTTCCGATATAACACATTAATTGGTAAATTATGCAGCTGAGAAAGCATTATTTAAAAGTGAAACTTGTTGTAAGCAGAATTACTTCTTTCGCGTGTGTCGTAAGTTCATGCATAAAAAATGTAAAATGGGAAGTAAAACAGAAATAGCTTCATCTCAACTTTCTTAATTTGCAGGATTGTACAAAAGGTATATACGCCCTTACAACAAGTGATGTGTTCAAACTGTTACACAAAGATTACAAAAGGCATAGCCTTCAAGTTTGTTGTAGCTTTTTCGAGATATACGGTGGCAAGGTTAGTGCCTCGGAATTCAGGATTTTGTTTTTATTTTCTTTTATTTATGATTTATTGCCAAATCAACTTTTTTAAAGAGTTAAAAACCCTGTTTTCTCGATTCATTCACTGTTTTCGAATATAAGTGTCATTGCAGGTTTTTGATCTTATCGGGAATAAGGCCATGTTACGGGTGTTAGAAGACGGTAAAAAAGAGGTTCAGGTGGTTGGATTGCAAGAAGTGCCGGTTCATGATGAGGATGATGTTGGTATTTTCAATTTTGAATTTAGTATTTTGAGTGGAACTGATTAGCATTTCGTCCGCAACATATTGGATACAGCAGTCACGCACAGATCGTTCGCTGCATTTCTGATATTGATATTATGCGCAACTGTATCTTATAATACATCCAATTTCAGTAGGATGTATTATACGATATAGTTGCGCATAATTATATGATATTATACGCTATATCTATTTTGCTAGGTACTTATACTTTCTAGATTACATTTTTTATAAAGTTATGTATCAGGCATAATGAAACTTACTTTAGGTACTGGAATTGATAAAAAAGGGAACAGTGATACGGACAGCCGGCACAACTTCTGCTAACGCCAACTCATCTCGATCGCATGCTGTGTTTCAAATTATTCTCCGTAAAAAGTAAGTTTCTCGTTTTTGATTTGTCCTTTAGAAGTAAAAACTTTTCCTCCTGCTAATTTAGTTTTAATTTCTTTGGAATATTCATATTTTTAGTAGCATTGCATCGACAATCGTTCGATAAAAACTGAGGTTTTAATTAACATTTCTTCGCATCCTTAACATTATAATAAGAAAACATCTAAAACATTGGAACAAGAAAATTTTTTACTATGGTCGAGGAAATAGAAAAAATAAGGAGAATAGAGCAGATCTGAGAAGGTAAAAGAAATCCTATGACCAGTTAACGATATTCCATCGTTTCTTTATAGTACATAATTTTGATCATATCTTTATTTCAGAACGGAGAAAGGATTAGGTCGTGTGTGGGGAAAATTTTCTTTGATTGATTTAGCAGGCAATGAGCGAGGTGTTGATACGATAAATACGGATAGGCAAACTCGCATGGAAGGTTCGGAAATTAATAAATCTCTTCTAGCTCTTAAAGAATGTATAAGGTAAGTAAAAATCTATGAAATTTTTTTCAAGTTTAAAACCTTATATAGAGTTTTATTGCTTGTATATGTTGTTGGTGTTTAAGAAAGAACTGAATTTAACTAATCACTTACAAAGACGATGTGGTCTATGCAGTATATAAGGCAAATCCCGAATAGAGGAAGCTGAAGATTGAAATAGCTGTGCGCTAATATCTTATCAATACTGAGCGAAATATATAGAGCCCGATTACTACTAGTTTTTTATTTTTCTTACTTTGCTACATGCTTTTAATTTGTGCTTTTTTGCACTTTTCTGCTATAGAGCAATGGGTCGAAATTCAGCGCATGTCCCATTCCGAGCTTCTAAATTAACACTTGTTCTTCGTGACAGTTTCATTGGTTCAAATGCAAGGACGTGTATGGTAAGGGTTTAAAATTATTTATACATTTATAAAGTTGTCAAATTTTCTGTTTTTTTTCCTTATATATTTCTGACCACCTTATTATAATTACAGATAGCAATGATTAGTCCTGGTATGTCTTGCTGCGAGCATACTCTGAACACCTTACGATATGCTGACAGGTATCATGCTTTTTTCAATTTCTTTATCATCACATTCATTTATTTTTTCATTTTCAGAGTGAAAGAATTAGGTGCTGAAGATGGATCAAATGCACCAATGGAAGATGAAGAGTTCATGTTAAACAATATTGATGAAGATTATGATATCCTGCAGTCAAAAAATGTATGCTGTTTGAGTTTAATTAGAAATTGTGACTCCAACACTTTTTGACTGACATTATAGAACTTTCTGTACGAGTTTCCCTCTGTATTTATTATATTGATATATCGCTCATTTCCTGCTAAATCAAAAGGAAAATGTGATTAGAGCTGTGTGTTGTAAAGAAATACAAGTTGAGATGGAATGTCTGTTATACAAGATTTTTTTACCTTCCTAAGTCTCGTTTATCTCTGAACCTTCTTTTTTCTTCCAGCTGTGTTAAAAACCTTTTGCTATTACAGTGAAAAAAAAATATATATAATATGTGGGATGGAGAAAAGTTAATTTTTCAAAACTTTAGATCCTACCAAACGATTTTCAATGTAATATTAGCAGAATAGAATATTCCAGCGAAATTAAAGGGAAATGAAATAAAATACAGAAATGGGGAAAGAAAAGCCTACTTTTTTTTAAAACTTTTCGGCATCTTAATCATTGTGTTTTAACTGTTCATTTTAAATGGGAAGTAAGGAAGTTTAAGATGCTAAAGCGTGCTTCATTTCCCATTATCCTTATGGTTCAGGTTTCGAGACGTTGAAAATTTGCTCTTATGTTTTTCTGCTGAGAGTTGGAAACAACATCTTGAAAAAGTAGAGGTGAATTCGTTGACTGGATTTTCTGGATAGCACTTCATTAATATTTTATTTTGCTCATGGTTTGTAGAAATAAAAATAAACTCGAGATTCTCATTATCAAAGTTTTAGGAATTGAACGATGAAAGATATCGATTGCAGCGAACATTGCAAAATATATCCCTGGCAGAAGAGAAGTCTTGTAACGAATTAACTACATTATACGAAGTAAGTCGAGAAATTCTTCACATTCAAAACTGTAAATTGCTAATCTATATTCGGATAATGATAAAAATAGGAAATTTTTTCACTTTTATCACTGGTATATAATATCACTCCAACGCAACATATTTTTCAGGATATAGAGAGAACAAAGACGGAGATGGCGTCGTTGTTGAAACGACCTAGTAAAGTGGATTATGATATTGATGCTTTTGCTATCGACTTGCAAAATTTTGCTCGTGAGCAACGTGATAGATATATACGTTTATTTGGTTAGCCATATTTCTTTGCATTTTTTTTTTTTTTGCTTTTACTTTAAAAAACCAGAATGGTCAAGTTTTTGAAGTCGATCTATGAAGCGTAGTGATATTAAACATTGAACAGTATAATAGATCGAAGTGATGCTGAGTCTATGACACCGAAAGATTATGTTTTGTTTCGGAATGTCTATGCTTTTACAATGATGATTTCTATATTTATAATCATCATTGTGAAATTTGAAACTTATTGAAATCAGTCAGTGAGACTACAAGTTGACAAAAGATAAAAGATGTCGGAATGAATTGTCGGGTCTTAATTTCAGATAATGCTGAGTGTCTAGTGTCAGAACTCGGCAGAGAATCCGAAATTAGTAAAAAACAAACAAATCATAAACGGCATTGAGTCGGATGAATGTAATCTCGGAATAGTTCGAGTCACCATAATTCATCGCTTGTTTCCCTCTTCATCTTAGCAGTTATTGTATCTTTTAAAAAATTAATGGAAATCTCTCATTAAATTTTCCTGTGCTTTGTTTGTTCATGTAAAGATTTCATGTTTATTGTAAAATTTAAACTGTGATTCCTTGTTTTGCACTGTTTTGTAAAATTTCTGCTCACAAGTTCATGTATTGTAATCTTTTATTGCATACTATTTTTATGCTTTGAGTGGCTTCAGCTTGAATTTTTCCTAGATTTTTCGGCGTCTGGAAAGTCATTCCATGCTTTAGAAAATCGTATAGATTTAGAACATCCTTGATGCATTATCTCATAGAAATTTATCATGTATACTTTGATCATGTGTTATCAAGGAAAAAGCTTGATTTATAGTATATGAAAACGGGTTCCATGTTTGGATTGACCCTATTAATGTGTAGGGATTTAAGGATGAAACATTGTTTTTTTCACAAGAAAAATATAATTGCGATTATGAGTAATGAAGGCTTGTAAAATGCGTTCAATTAGTGTTTTTTTCCCCCACGCTCTGTGACATTATTTACTGCCTCTTTTAGTGAGTAATTTCTTTCACACTTTTCATTTTTGACAATTTCCTACTTTATTATTGAGAACAAATGTTTCATATACGGAAAATATTTGGACCCAGTATTGAAATTTCCCAGTGTTGTGATGTTAATACTGTTACATGTAATGCAAATTACTTTTAAGTATAATAGTGAAGATTGTAATATCACGAAATATCAATGCATTTCTTTTGGAAGAGTATCTGTTCCGCGAAAAAGTGGATATCTACTTTTTTGGTAAGAGGGACAATGTTCCAGGAACGGATTCTTCAAAGGATTAAGTGCTTCTCATTATTTGTAATCGTCGTTTACTCATACTTTTTTCATTATGAAGTATGAAATGCTTTACATATACAATTGAAATGAATTTGAATTTGGCTTTGTTTTCGAACTGACAGTAAACTGCGGAAATTTCTACGAATGCTAATGATTACTTATATAAATTGAGATCTTCAGTTATTTATAATGGATGAAATTATGTGATGAATTTTAAGCCATATGAAGAGGCACGCCGATCTCCTAGCCCCCATACCTGAGATTTTTTGGGAGAGGAAAAAAATAATTTGTTGTAAAGACGCATACGGAAGCCAAAGTGGATTAGTTATTGGATTTGCATAATTGTGAAATTCAGGGGATGGAGTTTTTGTTCCGATAGTTCAAATGATTTTAAAACTAATTCTGTAAACAGTGTTTAATGTCTTTCGTGGTTTGACAGGATGATATACACGCCATATTTCTAACATGAGTCATTCGAATCATTCGCTGAAATCACTAGCAGCATCATTAAATAAAGTCCATTCTCATCAACAGAAGCCGAGTGTTCCAGTAACTTTTAGGAGTAACAGTCTTGCTGATAAGTTACGCCCAGGTAAGTTCAGCTTAGAATTTGGCAGAAGCAATTTTTATTCCACAGAGTTTAATGTGAAAATTTCAGGAAGATTCCACACAGTGTAAGGTAAAAGTTTTAGGAAGACATCGTTGTAATTGTCAAGCTAGAGTGCATAAATTGATTCGGAATTGCATAAGTTGTGGACGTGTAGTATGTGAGCAGGAGGGCAGCGGACCTTGTATGTTCTGTGGTGAACTTGTCTGCACTCGAGAAGAACGAGAAGTAGGTTTATTTTGGCAGTTATCTCTGTCAACAGCAGTTTATTTTCCTTTATTGATTACTTTCAAAATTTTTTGCCTTTACTATTAATGAATAGAGGAACTTTTTTGTAGTCTTAAATCAATTTCAACAGTTTGAAAAACATTGCAATGCAGAGGTTACGTCTAGAAATTGCCACTGAAGATGGTATTTATTGTACGTCATCATGTAAAAAATTAAGATGATTAGATGTATCACTTATTTTGATTCCGTAAAGTTGAAGAACAAATACCTTTTAAGTTTTTTTTCTCATTATCACTTGAATTTAAGAGTTTACTTGAATAAGTTTTATCAGCATTATCCATTGAATTCATTTCAGCTTTTGAATCAGCAGTCAAGAAAATCAGTTGAACTATACAATAGATTATTGGGATGCGATAATGACGAAACTGTTAATGGAGGAGTGTTTTCGCTGGCATCAGTTGGGAGTGCGTTAGCAAAAGCTGAGCAATACAAGAATAAATTATTGACCGCAGATTCTAACGCGTAAGTCATTCGTATATTTTGATTGTTAAGCTGTGATGTTGTAGATAACATAGATACTGATGGTCATTTTTCTTTCTTCTTTTTTTTAAGAGGATGAAAGAAATACATATTTGTGACGAAATAAATTTCATTTGTGAAAAAGATTGTTTCAAATGGGAAATTTTCAAATGAAATTGATCAATTTTAGAGAAATGAGAACACACATTCATGACTTGGAATCGGACTATTATAACACGGAAAATAATATATATTTGACAAAAGCGGTTAGTGCTGTTCTCAATAAGATCAATAAAACTGCTCGGTCTTCGATATCTTTCGTTTCAGTAATATCCATATTGCTCTTGGCTTTATTGTAACAAATAGATCTCCTAAGCGAAGAACGTAATGCCGGTCGTAAATACATCTTATCTAATTTATTAGACTAATTAAATCGAATAGTCTGATTTGGTCGCATGAGTAACCTATCAGTCTTTTTAGAAAGAAGTTTTACAGGAACGGGAAGCTATAATGGCTCGCAAAGAAGAATTAAAAGAATTAAGAATGCGACAGCGACGAGCTCTTATTGTAGACTTCGATTTGGAGAAAGCTAGTGTTTCTGAAGTAAGCATTCCAAAATATATTTGGGAAGATCTTTAACAATCTTAATTCTACCTCTTGCAACTACTATATTATGAATGAGGTATTCTTTATTTATTAATTGTGTTTCCCAGTGTACTTGAAGTTCATTAGCAAAGTTTCATAAAATTCTTTTATTCTTTTTAGCAAAGCTTCGCTAGAATAGATTATTGTAAGAGTTTTCGTAAGATGTCTAAAGATATTAAGTCACAATAGTTGTTTTTGGATAGGTGCATTCTATATTAATACAACTAAACTGGAAGCATCTCGATTAATCAGAGAATAGGAATTAACAAATTTTGTCAGTAAGAAATAAGATTGTTTATTTTTATTCTTCCCATTGGTTGGTCGACAAATAGGTGAGTACGATGATAAGGCAAAACTACGTAACGCATTTCGTTCAACTTTTGAAGCGTTGGTTGCCTAGGATTTAAAATAGAAAATTATGCTCTTTCTGTTAAACGATGTCAAATGCGCAGTGACTTTTGCATAAGTTTCAGAGTCCTTGGAATATGCTTTCTTTGTTGTCAAGTAGTACTTTTTTTAATTTTATATTAGCAGAGGAAATTTAGAAGATTTAATATTTGCAAATATTCTTGTAATAATCGAATTAGATTTAAAAAGAAATAAACGAGTGAAATAATTTGTCATTTACAGCAAATATTCCATATATTATGAAGGTCGAATCGGATGTAATAGAATTATGGTCTTATTTCAGTTACAATAATTCTTATTTATTATTAGACATTGTACTTCAAATACCAATTTCAGACGAAAGAAAGATGTGAGGATGCACATGATCCAGTGATCGAGTCAATTTTGTTATCTTCCAGAAGACGACAACAAACTGAAGTATCAAAGCCTGTAGCAAAATGGGCTCCGGATGGGTTTGTACCAAAGGTTCGTTTTGCCTCTCCCTTCCATGCATCTGACAAAGAAGAAAAAAGTTTAACAATAAAATATGTTTTTTATCATTTGTAAATTAATTAGGACTGTATAAGCAAAGTAAACTGAATCGATTATTTCAAATAGCGACAAGTTTTTATGATTAAAATTTGAAAAGAAAAGTGCATGTAACAGGATCAGTGTATCTGTGAAATGGGAGCTGTGGGCTGAAGAAGCTCCATGATTTCTTTATAATGAAATTTTGCTTCCACTTTCTTATAAAGAGATTTTTTGCCTCTTTTGATTTGATTTGGTGCAAAATTATCAACGCACATAATACACTAAGGAGAAAGTACGTAACTATTTGTAATGCGACCTGTCAGTCCAGTTATATGTTTCAGTATAATAGTCAAATGAAACGGAAAAACAATCATCAACATAATAGCGATGATGAAGGCGACATGGAAGATGAAGCATTTATGATGCTAAGTGATGAAATGATGTATATGGAAGTAGCAAGAAAAGGTTATTCGATGGGGATTGTTCAACCTGTTGCAACATTGTTGGCTTATGGATTTCGAAGGTTTTTCATATTATAATAGATTTATTTTCACAAATGTTTCAGAACAACTCTGTCAACATTGTAAAGGGAAGTATATTATACTGCGTTTTATATTTAAATACTCTGCGGTGAATCCATAACAATAGTACGTATGATATTTATCAGTAAAGCCAACAGTAAATGAATAAATTATATAAATAAGATTAATGGAACGCTTTACAGGCATCTTGCTTGGAATGAGGATGTTGATGTTAGAGGACCAGTGCTTATTGCTGCGAAAAGCAAAGCCGTTTCAAAAAATGCAATTGAAAAGGAAATCTCACACTTTTGTCATTCTTTTCCAAACAGTAAGTAATTTGCTCAAATAAATTGCAAAATAGAGCAATATGCAAAATTAAAAAAGTAACTGCTGCATGGTTTTGTTAAAGCTTTTCATTTTATCAGTTCCTTCAGAATAATGTTTGTATTTTTTCGAATTTTTTTGCATATTTGTGTCATTTTTTCTATTTCTCTTTTTGGTTTTATCTTTTGAGTGTAAATATAAAATATTAAATTTCTAGATGATATAGAAAAACACATACTTCCATCAGAATTTCCTTCGGGTGCGATTGTAGGTCGCGCACTGCTTACTGATTGTTTGTCGATGAAAGAATATGAAGGGAAGGTAATACTGTTTGATTATTACTTTAAAATAAAGGTATTATATTATGCGAATTAAGTAATATTTATATAGAATTGGGATTTTTGTTATTTAGAGTTTTGATAAAAGGAATTGTCAAGGCGGTATTGTAAGACCGTCTGATGTTTTTTGATTTCTTGAGAAAAATTGCGATATAAGCAGTATTAGCACAATATTTGCATAAGATTGTGCTGATATCAATCATAAGGTGTTTGAAGTTCTAGTGAACAAAAATTCGGCATCTAGCAAGCAGTTTTTAGGTTTTTTATTTTTAAGTGAAAGGTTGAGACATTCCAATTTCTTCATTAATGTTAATTATTTTTCAGTGTAGCAGAAGTTCTAGAGTAGTTTTTGTTTAGTCTACTGAAAAAAATTAAATTCATGCAAGTCGGTATAAGTTGAGTAAATATATTTAGTTTTATTTTCGATGTTATTTTTTTCAATTAATATACGGTTATACTATATTGCAGTATTCGAACAGGGAATGCTCTGCTGCTGAAGGATCTCATGTGCTAATATTCGATGTCTTTGAACCGTTGCTTATCCCCATTCCTCATATTCCTCCTTCAGATAGTATTTATCAAGTTGACAAGCAATTACTGACTGTTATAAAACAAATTCTCGAACCGACATCATTCTCTTGAGTGATTTTTTCGGGTTCAAACTATGGCATTATATGAAGACTTAGAAATATTATTTATGTTTGTTATTTTGTACAGTGAATTCTAGCTGCGTAACATCCCCACATTCTAAATCTTGTCGTATTTGCTTATTTTAAATTCTGTGTAAATGCAGTGAATATACTTTTATTTCGAAATACAATAGTTTTCCAGTTACAGTTTAAGTTGATTATTTTGATTTGATGAGCAAAAAGATGCCATGATGAATGATCAGCATCAGAAATAAAAAAATATAAGTATTCGAATGCACCCCAATTGCTATGTGGTCTTCAAGTTTTATGAATTGGTATCCAAGATGCTTTGTAACAATACAATTTTGAAACTCGTGCTTAAACTGTGTCTACAGAAATATGCGGTATTTATCAACTGCATTCATCAACTTTTCTATTTTAGTCCAAAGTGAAATGAAAATGAAAAGTGACCAATTGTGATTGACCATTCAATCTATCATTTTCACCTATAAAGACGATACTTTTCACTAAATGCTCAAATCTACCCTCACTTTTATTGCTATAATTGACGATTTCTTGAAGTGTGTTAAATCACGGAGCTCTGAGATTGTAAATGTGGTTCCGTGATTTAACGGGACTGCAAAATTTTTCCCCCTCCCACGAATTTGAATATTTAAATCTGCAATAAGGTTGCAAATTGTGAGGAGGATCTTCCAATGATTTTCACCGCATGATTCCCTTCAAATGTTTTCGAAGTAAGGCTGACATGGCTTAAGAAGGTCTTGTCGGCTATATGCTTCCTCATTTAGCTTAAGCTTATATCTTTAATTACCACTCATCATCGTTCCAGTTATTTATTTAGAAATTAATGTGTTAGAGTTATCTGTCATCGAAATATTTTTGATGAAGTGCGATATTTTGATTATAATGACAACACTTTCCAGAGTATATCGTTAAAGAATTACTTGTGAATTTAAAAATCCATTTCAGGATCAGTTATGCCATGTTAATATTCCGAAACCTGTGCAAATTTAAGAATATTTGTTGTGTTTATAATTTATGAATTTATTTTTTTCGGGTGTTTTTCTCTGTAAACATTGTGTGAAAGAGGATAAAGAAGAGAAGATAATTTATTGAGATCTTCGCTTGCTTTGGTTTTAGTGAAAACAGGCTTAAGAGGAAGAAAGTTGAATTACTGTTAGTAATCAATCATGTGATCATACGCTGTAAATCACTGTTAATGTTTACAAGGATAAAAGAGAAAGATTGATTTTAGGGCAGTGGTGAAAAGAAAACAAATGCCTTCTTGGAGCCAACATCTCGGGCTTGATGACGCTGAGGTAGGGAGTGATGTACCATTAATTTGCTTGGATGGTTCATTATAAATCGTCATATGGTGGGAAGTTAAGTAAAACCAAAACAAGATTCAGAAATTCATATAAAATGTTCGTATTTGATTTATTAGCAAACCCTTGAGGATTGTAGTGATCAAAAGGCATAATGGTCACCTGATTAAAAATGCAGAAGTTTAGTTGACTCTCTCTTTTTTACTGTACAAAACAGGATTAAGAAGTTCATATAAAATGTTCGTATGCGGACATTGTTCGTAGTGGAAATCGAACCCACAATAGTACCTATTGGGAATTGCGTGCAGAATAAAAAAAAAGAAACCTCATGAAAGAATGTATAATTGAATATCATAAGATGATACGAATGATTTGGTTATGAAGATCATTTTTCAAATTTTGTCATATTTTAGTTTCTTGATTCCAGTTCACTTATCATGATTTTTATGGTTGCGTTTTATTTAATTTATAGGGAAAATTGAGATATATTTAAGTTTTTTTTTTCTTTGGACTAATTCAGTTTTTTTTATAGGCGGAGAAAGTTGAGAAACGTGGACGATATGTTGCTGTAAGAACACTGGTTGGTATCGTCATTTATCCATTAACACATGTAAAAATTCTCTTTCAACTTGGTTATGAACCATTTCCTTTAACATCGGGAAAATTTTTGTGGCTTTTTCGAGAAGCATATTTTCTTCCTAATGGTTTCAAATATGGTTTGTGTTTTCATTTTGTTCTGTTGCTATTTGTTTTGCTGTGTTTCAAAAAAATTTTATGGAAATTTGGGTAAAGTTATGATAGTGTTAATTTATGTGACTTGATGTTCATAGGAAATTAATAATCTTGCACGCAGTTCTATTTTAGATTTATTTTTTCCACTTAGCTTTTGGTCGTCACCAATGTGAATATGGTTGCATACCATTAAGGCACCATTATTTAATAAATGAATGTTATTGATTTTAGCCAGAAAAATATACGACCACTTTGGACTACGCAAACTCTATGCAGGCATCGATTCTTCCGTGTTTTTTCAATTAACTTCCGGGTTGATTGATCTTGCAACAAATGTCGTTAGTTTTTATTGTGATATAGTAAACCTGGTGGACAAGAGATAAGTGATAAAAAAAAGGTTGAGAATACTCTTTTATTAGGTTCGGTATTGCTAGAAAATAAAGTGATATGCATTTAAAGTTGAATATGAATATGATAAAAGATAGTTCCAAACATAGCTAGAATTGATTTAATTATTACACACATATCTTGTTGTTTTTAAATTGGTTGAAAATTTTCCTGATATGATATAAGAAAAGTGATATGAACATTCGCCGTAATCGAATAGTTAACTTTAAACAGCAAGAAGACTTCGAGGATTTTTTCATATATTACTTTTATTAAATTGAAAACTTAAGCTGGTGTGACAGTTTCATGCAACTACATTGGTAGATGTAATTTTTATTTTTTCAGTATATGGATCGTCATTACTCCGAAATTGGTGGAAAACCGATTAACCTAGACAAAGAAGAATCAGAGATGAGCGATATGGAAAGTATGCGTCGTGTCCTACGTTTCGCCATCCGAGAAAGTATTTCACGTACTGTTGCTGTCATTTTTTCACGCCCATTTTCCGGTATTATTTTTTTCCTAGTTATCAGTTTATTTAAAGTATTTAAATATCTAAAAAATGTAGTTTATGAAGGACATATTCCAAAGATTTTAGTGATTATGATCAGGCAGATTGCGCAGATTGTGGGTGGTGAGCTGAAATATCATAACGTGTTATCCTCTTTGCGATTAGTTGGCATTGAAGAAGGTCCAAAAGGATTGTTTTCGTTAGTTTTTAGTATTTCCTTAATTTTAATGATTATATTTGAGCTGGATGTGTCTTTTTGATAAAGATAAGGCCAATTTTTTAAACTAAGCTTGTGCTTGCACCATTAATTTTCTTTCTATAATTGTTCAAGATATTTGTATCATTTCAGAGGTCTAATCCCTCAACTAATTGCGGAGTATTTGTCGATATGGGGTGTACACTTTGTGCTTTACGGCATTGAACGTATTACGTTACGTGGTCAGCAAGATGCCATTGTAAGTTTGGTATTACTGAAGATGTTATATTTGACTTTTAATTGCTCCTAATTCATGGCTGTTTAATTGAGGATGAACTTTCAATTTCCTTTTGAATTTCTTGGATCATAATAGAGGACTAAATAGAGGAAATTTCTTGGGTCATAATAGACGAATTATTTAACAGCAGTCATTAAGGCTCATTTTAACATTTATTCTATTTGCTTTCTACATCAATAGTTATACCATGAAAAGTCCATCGTTTTAGCGTTCTAATAACAAAGAAGAAGAGAATTTTATTGTTTCAACACGCAAAGCGCTGCATTTGATTGCACCAGTATTTGTGAACAGTTTCACATATCCATTCCAAGTGGTGTCAACAGTAATGGCAGTTGCGGGTTCCGGGTAAAAAAGTTTTCCGAATTTTTTCACATTTCAATCAAAGAAAAATAAGTTGAGATGCTTGAACTCCTTTTTTTCAGTGATTTTATCCATAGTGAACGTAAATCAATATGCACCGCTTAGTCGATGTTGTGGTCATCATACTGGTGATTGCCATCATTTGGGACTATTGGTATGATGAGCGCAACATGGATTTTCGTTAGTCTGTGTAATGAAATATTTTTTTAGCTTGCTGAAGCTTTATTGCTTGAACATATCATTTTTCGTCAATTTTTTGCAGACTTTTGGTTTCGATGTTACCTTATAGTCCGCCGTTTGATTTATGGCAGGATGCTTATGATTATCTAATGCCAATTAATGGATTAAAACGAGGCTCAAGAATATTCTGGCGTGAACATAATGGAGCTGTTAGCGTAGGCCCTGATCATGAGCTTTATGCCGCCTATAAACATTTCGTGTATGTTATTGTTCTTCTTGTTCATGCTTATTACTTTTATGGAATTCATGAAAATAGATTTATGGAAATAGAATTAATTCATTTTCACTGCTCTTTTAGAACAGAGAAATCTTTTAATGATGCTAATAAATATTTCATTAAATTTGATGTCCAGTAAATCCTTCCTTACTGTTAATGTAATAGGGTTCAGAATTGGGATGGAAATATTGGTAAAGGCTAAGTAGGATAAGTGCGACTGGCCTTTGAGACTGGACGATGGGTCAGTGATTAGATTGATTAAAGGGGAATGTTGATGATGCAGTACTTGTAAGTATGATCATTTAACATCATTTTTTTCAGCTGATGAAAGAGATTGATGGACGCCAGAATTTTCTAGAATTTGTGTGGTTTTTTCTTCATGTTTATATTGCAGTACTAGTTGTACTGTCAGTGAATAATGCTAGCTCTTTTATGAAATTGTAGAGGTTGAAGATACTGGTGGTGTTTTTGTTAAGAAAAACTCACACGCTCACTTCTTTGCTATAATTCGGTTGTTGTGACGAGATTTTTACGTCATAGAGTTAAAAAAATAGCATTTGATTGTTAGTTGAGAATAGGTTGTTTTGATAAAAAATAAATGATGACCAGATAAGGAGTGGTTTTACATTAAAAAATCTTCCAAGAAGCCATCATACATTGATTTTCTTCCAAAAATTCCAGCAATTGCTGGTCCATATTTTTGATCACCCTGTGCCTTTCCTTTTTCTAAATGCTTCATTTACACTCACACTTACTGATATGTACTCATTGCATACTGAAATATAGTGTGAGGCACTTCAATAAATTTCATGAAACAGCATACTATTTTGCGTTTCGCACTTTTCGTTGCTCAGTGAGATTTTTGCATGATAAGGATAAAAGCGTTGCACAAATTTGTGGAGACATACATTTCATGGATTACATGTTGCGGTTTGTCATCAGATAATTGGGTCTATTGTCCATACGTCCGAGCATAAAATTGAATATTTTCTTTGGAACTTAAATTTTATGCAACATTTCTAGAATTATGACGATTTGTGATTATGATAACTCAGTTATACATTATTAAGGCTCTTGTGCGGCTGCATTTCCTTTAGCAGCAAGCAATAATAACGATGTTTTTTGATCGTGGAAATGAGAATCAGAATGCGTCAAGAATTATTCATGCAAAATCTTGTAAATGTATAAATTAATATCAGATATCGATGTAGTATCATTGCTTTGATTTTATTTTATTTTTTTTTTTTTTCAGAAGAGAATGAAGTGGTAAAAGAATGACACTTTTTGATTTTTTTTCTTGCAAAATTATCATCCATTTCAAACAAATACACACGAATACCTGCATATACATTTGCCTGTTTGCTTAGCTTTTATGGAAGAACAATAACGTGAGTAGAATAAGGGAATATTGATCGTCTGTAACATATATTCTCTCAAGAGATTTCGTAATTTAAATGGCGGAAAATCATCTAAGTAAATTTAAAATAAAAAGTCGATTGCGAAATTATTAAAGTATCATTCTAACAAGAGCTATTATCCATTCAGATAAAAGTGATAATTGTCTAACAGCCGTATCAGTAGCAGATACAAACTCATATGAAAGGTTACATGACGATTCAATGCTTTCAATGACCAGCGCTGCTGGTTTGTACCATTTTTTTTCTTCTCATTTCTTCTCATTCTCATTAAACGCATGAAAAACAATTATCATATTGGCTATTCTTATTTTGATGGATTTTCAAAAATTTTTCAGTTTGATGCTTCCCAATTTTGTGTAAAATAGCCAATGAAAAATGTTTCATTAAGCAAAGAACAGCACGAGAATTTAAGACACATTGGGAAGATTTCTTTTGATAGATGTGAAATTTAGAATAATTTAAAGAAATTTAAAAATGAACACTGAAAAAAGAGGCATCACGGTATTATATAAGATGCAGCTAACAGTACCTAGCAATTTTTGAGCTATAAAAAGAATAATCAATAAGAAGAAATTCATTCTTTTACTGATTCAATAAAATTAAATTAGTTATTGTTTTGGGAGAAATTATTCAGGTTTATTTGTCAATAGGTATCACGCATGAATCAACTGAAAATAGCATAATCGAGAGTTCGACAAATTTAACTACTAAATTATCATCTTTTTCAACACAGAGTACAAATGAAGAGTTTGTTTCAAAACCATACTGTTCTTCAGTAGAGGTACGATCCGCTCAAAATGATACAAATTTATAAATTTTTAAGGCATTGCATATGGAATGAGTGATAATTTCAAACACAATACGAAATGAAATTATGCTTTTTAAACACACGAAATATGATCAGATATTGTTAGATCATATTTCGTGTTCTAAAAAAGATTTCAAGATTTTCAAAAAGTCAAAAATCTTAATATTTTTCTTAAAGTTAGAAATAAATAGTGATACTTTCAAACATAATGCGAGAATCATTCTTCCTTCAGAAAATGGATTTAATACAGGGTGATAGTTATGATATTTTTGCAAACAAATTGATAATACGTTTGATTGATAATCTACGAGCTAAGCATCTCCATGAAGGTTTTTCTCTTCTCTTCATGTACTAAAAATAGCAAAGTTTGCATACTTATATTAGTGCATTGACATAGGAACGAAAAAGCTATCAGCAAAGTAGATTAATTTTTTAATTCAAATTTATTTTAGTAATTAAAATAATCAAATTCGTTTATTAGCATTTCAATTTCTTTTAATTTTCCAATGAAAATGATTGCAGATAATGCTCGAGTGATTTTAATGAGACGTGGGGAAACTGTTTCGGAAGTTTTCCCGAACTGGATAGCGAATGCGTTTGACGATTCAAACAACTATATGTCATAATTTATAAATCAAAATGATTCTATAGTTTGAAAATTTGGATTAAATATTATTGCTTTCCGTGGAAAAAAATCAATAAGATTAATTTAACTGAAGCAGTCCTCAAATAATATGAAATAGATCTTTTACCTTTACTTTTTTAACTCTACTTTTATTATATTGCTTATTAAAAACTATTTTTTTTACCTTTCAATTCAATTTCAACAGAAATAATTAAATAAAAGGAGCGTCATTTAACATTGAGATTTCAACTGCAGCTTCTAAAATCGGTTTTTTAAATTACTAATCAGCCCATAAATTAATAATTATAAAAAGTAAAGTGGAATTACAAAGGTAAATATGGAAATTTAAAATCATTTCGAAAATGAAAGGCAAAAAAAATTCATGAACTACTGATTTCTACACTCGACTTTAGTGATAAATGATTTCTCCTTCCATTTCCCTTTCTCTTTTTACTGATTTAATGTTATTCTTTGTTGTAAAAATATAGTTGTATTAATAAAATTTTTTTCCAGACCATATGACCTTAATATGCCATATACTTTGCGAAGACGTGAAAGGCACAATGATTTTTTGGTGATCTTTTTTAAAATCTTCTGTCTTTTATTACAACTAACCTACTGAAGTATAAGGTACACAGACGTAATTTAGCTTTTTTAATTCGGTAATTGTAATTAATAGCTGCCGAATACTCTAAGTAATGTCGGCTGATTCAATAATTGATAATCTATGTTACAATTCAACGATTTGAATTAAATGTAAAAATTCTACCGCTTACCAAATCTGAGCATCTCTTTTGCACCTCAAAATTTAATTTTTAATGAAAGCTTTTTTTTTCTTTCAATTTGGAAACTGAACTGAAATTGTATTAAAGATCGATCCACCATTAACAAATATTAGCGCACATTTCGCAGCTGAACTTGGTTTTGCAATGACTCAAAATTTGCCAACAATGGTTTATTCAGCACCGGAAATGGCAGTAATACAAACTGCTCAACAATTTATTGATGGTGCTGAAATTGGTATGAATTGGTTGATCGAGCCAGGACTTGTCAGATACTTCTCATCCAATGAGCCTAAACCAAGTAATTGTCACCTATTAAACAAAAAAGTTCATTACACAAAATTTGTTATTGTTAATCAAGCAATAATTATTTTTGCAATAGAAAAAGTATGAGACGTAATAGACACAGTTGTTAAACTATGATACTGTTAGTAGGAACAAGCAATCAAGAGCACTATAAACTCTCAATGATTAGCAAAATTTTTACTTAGTCAATCAAAAATCGTTTTGTTTCAATTTGAAAACTGACCTGAAACTATATCGAAAATCGATCCATCATTAACAAATATTAGAGCACATTTTGTAGGTGAACTTTGTTTTAAAATGATTCAAAATTTGCCAACAAAAATACAATCAACACTATGGTTGATCTATTTTGTTTTACATAATATATCTTTTATAAAATTTAATTTCTCTATCATTACGATAATCAACTAACACAACAAGTCTAGAAAATCCTCTTAGCTCACAATCTTTTCTGAATTATTGCTTTTTTAATATTTGAATTAACCATAGCTAAGATTAATATTAATAACCGGCTACAATATTTTATAGTTTTCACAGTACGAATTCAACAAGAGACCATATATACGATGGAAGAAATTAATGATATTATTGGAAAAGAAACAGTTGATGAATTTGAGAATAGAATTGCAAAGGTTTACATTCCTCAATTATTATTCCGCATGATTCTTTTTCTTTCACAACGTCTCACCTATAACATACGATAATGCTTGACTTTAGGTCATCTCAAAGCTTAAATTTCCACGTAAAGCAACTACTGTTTTAATTGCTGAGGATTGTGTCATCAATGCTATTATACAGAAATTCATCCGTAACGGTAAAAAGTTAACCACAAAGCAGGTAACCGATAAATTTCATTATTCCTATAACAGGATAATTCGTAAGATTTCAAAAATTAGAAGCTCGCTCGGAAGAAATAATATTCTTTGATCATAATAGATAGGAAACGAAATAGCAAATCTACTTTTTCCATCATACACATTGATCTGATAATTGGAAATGAAACACGAGAAATTAAAAACACGTATGCTTTCTCGAGAACAGAATGGATCAAACTTTCTTCTGCAAAAACTTCGATTTAATTCAGTTACCATCCAGTAAATGATTACAGCATCTAACAATAACCAGACGAATTCCCAGACTTTCTTTGATGCATTTCGATATTGACAGTGACGGAAGATGGAAGCCAAGCTCTGCATCGTTACCTGGTTTACAAGGCGCTACTCATACTATGTTTAATCAACCTGATATCAGCTTCCTGATCAGACCAACACGTGATTTTTGAGATGACCTTTTGCTGCAGATATTTCAGTGATACCAGGGACACCAAATTAAAACTTGACTTTCCAATTTTAAGTCAAACGTTTCTAAATTCAAATTCTCAAAAATTACAAATCACTGTAAATTATATTATTATAATTCATCGACTTATAATCGGTTGATGGTGATTAATAATTTCATCCATTTTGACAAATTAAAATGTGTTCCTTAAAAACAGTGAAACAGTGTAACATTTTCCACTACTTGAATTCAACTACAGCTAAAATAAGTCTTCCGTAAATTACTCAATCACCGTTGAGACTAAACAAAACACAACTTCTGTCTCACACAAAAATCAAAATTTCTTGTTGTTTGCTTTCCAATGTAATCAAAAAATCATACAATGAGAGTTGCTGTTCAATAGCAACTATTTATTTATTCAGTACATCGGACTCTATGTTTCGCCAAAAAATTTCACAGATCATTAACAGTGATTCAGTACCAAATTTCAATCATAGGTACTTCTGAATCTCATCGTAAATTGCTAATACCAGTGCGCCGCCGGTACCACGGAAAACATTTGACAGTGCGCCTTTGAACATTGCATTCGCACCCTCGTTTTTAATTATTTTCACAGCACAATCAAATGAATTCTACAACAATAATATCAAGATTCATTTGCTGTATTATTTCTATATTTGTAGTAGAAAATAAAAAAGCTCCATAACATTTCCAAATATAAAACCAGCATTATTAATAAAATTTATCATCTCAAAGTACATCACTTACCATCATTAAATGATAATTTATCATCACTCTTAGACTGCCAAAAACTGTTTTAAATCAAATTTGCAGGCGTCAATTTTTTTTAATGAGAAAAATGAAGTCAAAGAAAGGACTCTATTCTGTATTAATAAATGAGAAACGAAATATCTCAAATATGTAAGATAACATGCTTTTCCAGACATTTACAACGGTAAAAAAGATATACCTATGTCTAAGAATACAACATACCTTGTAAAGGATATCTTTACGTCCAGATTGCATCATCATTCGACGGCGCACAGTGTCCCAAGGATATGATAATATGCCGGAGCTTACGGTGACTATTTGAGCAATCATCCAAGCGAGGAAGAAGTTCAGTTTCTTTTCACTAGCCACCAATGTTTTTACGGTATCAAACATACCAAAGTAAGCCGCACGGTAAATAATAATTCCTTGCACTGATACCAGAAAACCTCTGAAATTCAACATTGAAATAATATTGTCAAGAATTAGTTTATAGCATTGAATTTTTGCTATTTTTTCCATAAAAATTTTTTTACAAGAAAAGCACACCTATATAATCCAACTATACCATCGGATTTTGCAACTTTCACAATACAGTCTGTCAATCCCTTGAATTCTCGGCTTTCACCTTTACCGATATCAGCAGCAAGTCGTGTTCTAGCGAAATCTAATGGGTATACAAAGCACATTGATGCAGCACCAGCAGCACCACCAGCTGCAAGATTACCGGCAAAGAATTTCCAGAATTGTTTCTCCTTGTCTAATCTGAAAATATAAATTACATGCCAAATTACACAATTACACAAATAATAACACTGCATGAAGGGTGTAAGGAAAAGTATAATAATTAATGTATGAAAATAAATTCAATTAAAACAAAAAAGACAGTAGTAGCTCGCTATTATCATTTACTATCAAGCCTCAATATCAAAAATATTAAAAATAGGATTTACCCTTCCATGAACATTTTTTTGAATGTATCCTTGAAGGCGAAGTTAAGAGCTTGTGTGGGGAAATACCGGATTACATTAGCCAAATTACCCCGCCATAGAGCAGTTAAGCCTTGTTCTCGAGGAACTCGAATCAGTACATCAAATATACCCTTGTAACGCTTCTCAACAGCGATTGTTTTTTGGGCATCTTGAACCTGAAACAGATTATTAATATAGCAACATATGGGACAACACTGAAGCGCATTACATTTAATTCAGATGAGGTCTAAATTAAAAAACAAAAAGAATATGAAAAATGCTGCAACTCATACTTGCAACAAAATTTTCACTCTTTCAATTGGTGCAACTGCAGTTTTTGATATTGCAGCGGCAGTACCACCCGTTGCCAAGTCAACGAAAAACTTCTTCGGATCAAAACTTTTAGTAACCTGTTTTTTAGCCTTATCCGCATGTTTGTCTGAAACAAAAAATAATCATGTCATGTAACTCTATTCTATTCAGTGTGTTCATAAAAACTGATCGAATGTATTTGTTTTCCAAATTCGATGAAAAAATACAAGAGACAAGTTACATATAAAAAATAACGCCGTATCATTTATATTTTTACATAATCTAACGTAATATCTTGAAGATTGGAATGGCAACAATTAAAAGTTTTCGAAACATGCAAATAAGTTCATCAGAAGTTTCAAATAAACCAAGACATTGTCAAGATTAGTTAACTAGAATCACAAATTCTATGTAGGTAAAACAGACTGCTCAATAGCGCTAGAAGACTGATGTACGAGTAGAATTAGTTGTATTGAATAAACGATAATGAAGAAATAAAATCAAACTAGTACAGATATCATTACCACTGAGATTTTATCAAGCAGATAAAACCCAGCTATTTATAAAGCATACATTTTCGTATATTCAAGAAGTTCCAATAAAAGAACTCCATATCCTTCCTTTTAATGTAAAACAATCAAAACGACGTCTACTATTTCATTCAACAAATTTAGATCAATATAAATAGAACATACATCTCGTAAACAATAGACATGTAAGCCGACAATGCGCACTATTGGAGCTTTACTTTTACTACAATAATTTTTGTTAATTAGATGTGTTCTACGCAAAACACTTTTCAATTCCTTAAATGTAAAAGCAAAAGTTATTCTATTTATTCTCACAGAATGTTTGAACTTCAAGGTCCTACCAAATAGTATTAAATTTTAAACAAAACTATCCTTTAAAATATATTTTTAGCATCAGTAATGAAGCATGTTACAAGAAGTAATCATGAAAGCATGACCTTCAGTAATGTAGCATACTTTTAAATTTCCAATCAAATACCACTAAACATTTCCAACATTATAACCGAATCTCTCCCAGCTATCTAGATTACTAGTGAGGAAGGAATGAAAAGTATCCATAACTATTAAAAGATACAATAGATTCTGAATAAATTTCATTTTATGTCATATGAAAATCAAAGTCAAGTAAATGTCAGATTTAATTATGAATTTCATTTCCACAGATAAAACTCATGATTTAGAACTAATTTCTTAATGAAATTTCAACTCCTGATAAACTTATGGATAATACACTTTGCGATATAAACTGAAGTGATAAAATTTAAAATTAGAGAAAATGATTACCTTCTGTCATTTCTGCCATATCAAAATACTTGGAATCCCTTGCAATTTAGTTATATCTGAAATTAATGAAATACTGACATAAATGATGGGAAATACTCGTCAATGAAATTAACACATTTATGATGTCACACAATAAAGCTTTAAATATAATTAACATTTAATCTGTGATTTGCATAAAGAAAGCGTCTTATCAAGTGTTATTACCGAATATGATAAATCGATTTCGAATATTATAATGAATGCAAATTTTCACATACATAAAACCGAATAAAGGAACTGATAGTAACCATGAAAGAAAGGATAGTGGAAAAAGAATGAATAATAGCAAATGTCTAATATGAATTTACAATTTTAAATTCCTTATTTGCTATTTTATCCAAGTGGAAAATAGCCATAATAACTTTATCAATTTATAATAGTTAAATGACTGAAAGCAGGGAAACATAATCCTACCAAAACCGATACTAACATGTAGCACTTTGTTAATTAACATCCGTATGTTAATTAATATCAGGTAGCTGCAGGTTCATTCTTCACAATATTTCATTATATTAAGAATAAAAGTTAATATTCTTTACAGGAGGGAAAAGAGAATTTTTTTTTTGAATTCATCTTAACTGCATTAGCACTGCATTCACCTGGGAAATTTCTTAAACAATTGTTAATTCAATCTAATTCAATTAATATAACGCTTTCTGGTTGGAGATGCAGAAAGAGAACATTTCAATTTTGTTCAATTCGATTGTTCAATCATTTAACCTCAACACAACAAGAAAGCTCCTTGTCAGTTTAACACCTCAAAAAGTTCACGGTAATTCCAACGTCTCAAAATGTTCATGCTAAGCTCAACACCGTGGGAAGTTTATGAATTAGTGATACAGGGAAAATTCTAAATAAATTATTTGAGATAAAGAGGAAATTATTATCAGGAAATCACCGATATCGATATTTCCTTCTTCCAACACACCACACACACACACACACACACACACACACACACA